GAGAACGTCTGTGTCCACGTTGTCGTCGTCCTCTTCCACTTCATCGTTGTCATCTTCTCCGCCCTTCTCGTCGTCATCATCGAAAAACTCATCCTTCTCTTCTATGCGGGATCTGCTTGATACATTGAGGCCACGCTTGGGAAAGCGAGAGAGGTTGAACGTAGAAGCATGGGCGAGACCGGGCGTTGAAGTGGATGATGCGAAGCCGATCGCTCCCGCGCGTGCTCGAAGAAACTTCGTGTGCGGATGGTTTATTGCGAGACGGGTGAGGGTGTCATCTATGATCGCACAGCGATCCAAGGACTGGCGAGCCTAGCATGAGGCGAGAGAGGAGGGAGCGGAGTCGAAGCCACTCACCGAGTCGTAGATGTGCACCACCACCCACACGGTTCTGTCCTCCTCCTCCACTGCCCGCACGTAGCTCCGCACGCCCACCTCCCGCAGGTGCCCGAACCGCCCTGCCTTCTGCTTCCCCATGACGTGCCCGCCCGCCCTCACCTCGAGCCGCGCCTGCTCCGCACGCCGCTCCTTCTCCTCCTCCGCCCACGTCTTCCCGCCGAGGCTCGCCTTCTCCATCGCCTTGTCCAGCGCGCGCACCCCATCGCCCCGCTGCTCGCGCGCGCGGTGCTCCGCCTCGGCGCGGTCGCGGATGACGCCCTTGACGCCCGTGCGACCAGGGCCCATGCCAATGGAGTCACCCTGCTGCTGAGAGGCGACGTGGGCCTCGATGGTCGCGCGGCGCTCGCGGTCTGAGTCGTACTCGAAGTCATCATCTTCAGTGGGCCAGGGTGCGGGGCCGGGGGATGGGGAACGTGAACGGACGGGGGAGTTGGAGGCGGAGGCGGGGGCGAAGAACTTGCCCGAGAGGACAAGGTCCTCGATGTCGCCGTACTGTAGACAAGACCATAAGCGATATGCGACATGTGTTTTCATAAACCTTACCATATTGTTGAGGCACGTCTACTCGAGACGATGGCGGTAGATTCCAAGAGAGGCGTGTCATGAGAGAGGAGCTGCGACTGCAACAAAGCATCTGGGTGGCCCAATACTTTGATACCATTGGCAAAACAATGAGCAAGGCCCAATGGTCTAGTAGTATGATTCGCCCTTCGGGTTTCCCAATCCGGTCTTTCAGATCACGTGGGCGAGGTCTCGGGTTCAATTCCCGATTGGGCCCTTTTTTGATCTCCACGAGGTATTTTTTGTCTCATCCATCCTTCTGCTTCATTATACATGCGGCAAACGGGAGGCAAGAGCGAACATCTTCCCAAATGGCAAGCAGAGAGGTGCTTGTGCATGACGTCAGTCTTACCGCCAAGGGCAGTGCTGCGTGGCATTTCATCTCCATCACCACCATCATAACGTCAATATATGAAGCCACACCAACGGGCAGTTCCCTCCTTCTCTTCTTTCCCTTTCTTTCTTTCTTCCCCCTTTCTTTCGAGCTGTGCTCGACTCAGCCTGTGGCTTATCTTTTCGTTTCAACTCGTCTAATCCTTTTCGCACATAGTCCTCGTACATTATCCCGGTCCGATTCACTTCGTAGCAACCGGAAGCTTCAACATGGTCTCCACCACTATCAAGCTCGCACTCGCACTCGCAGTCGTCGCCCAGTCCGTCAGCGCCGCCCCGCTCGCCGTGCGCGTTACGCAGGACGTGTCGGATGCGACGCACGAATGGACGCAGGCCTGTGTGAGTGCTGTCGCTCCGCAGGAAACCATCTGTTAATCATTGCACCGTTGACAGGTCAAGGCGGGCGGCGGGAGCTCGTGCAAGAACCTCGGCCTGAACGCCGTGAACTCGCTCGCGGAGACCGCGAGCGTGTGCGCCCAGCAGGACGCTGCGGACGCGATGGTCGACTTTGCCAAGTCGCTCTTCAATGATCAAGACATGATCCGCCTCGCGCAGATCTTCGTTCAGCAGCCGCGCAACACGGTCAGTATTAGGAGACCCTACTCTCGCCCCGTCCAGACCGACCGCTAATTCCGAGCCGCGTGCTTTCTGCCAATGATACACAGGCCACGAACCAGTCAACGCCGTACTGCCAGGACGACCCGAACAACAAGGAGCTGCTCGGGCTCTACCAATGCCAGTTCGCAAGCGCGAGCAACACCGCCTTTGTGGGCGGCGCGCAGCCTGGTGAGCGTGGCACCATCCCCGCCCGCCTCACCGCGCCGCTCGACCCCCCGGGCTCGTGCCCTGCGCACCCCGACGGGCCCATCCCCGACGGCGAGCAGCTCGTGCACCTCACGCAGGACCCCGGCCTCGACAACGTCGTGCTCGAACCCGCGGTCGCCTCCACCCCCGGCTCCTCGTCCGAGGTCTCACTGACGGTTCCCGCCAACGGTGCCACGCTTTTCTGCCCCCTCCTCCTCCAAGCGCACACTCCGGAGCAAGCGCCGCGCGAACTTCGCTGACAAGCGCGCGGGCCAGAGCACCACGGGCGCGGTGCGGCCGTGGCTGCTCGCGTGCACGCGCTCGGGCGGGTCCTCGGAGGAGTGCAGCACGGTGGCGGTGGCGGCGATGAACGCGCTGCTCGCGGGCGCGGACGCGTGCGCGCAGCAGGACGCCGCGGACGCGATGGTCGCCCACGCGAAGGCGCAGGACGACGCGGAGATGCTCCGCCTCGCGCGGATCTACGTCCAGCAGCCGCGCAACACCGTGAGTCTTCCCCCCCTTGTGTCCGGTGCCGTCTCGCGTTGGGGCTGACTCTACCGTGTGGGATCGCAGCCGACGTCCGAGGCGGTCCCGTACTGCCAGCGCGCGCCTGCGAGCGCGGAGCTCGCGGGCCTGTACCAGTGCCAGTTCCAGAGCACGGACCAGGAACTTTGTCGGCGGTCTCAAGGCCGGCGATGCGGGCACCGTTCCGTTCGGGATGACCGCGTCGCTGAGCCCCGCCGGCTCGTGCGCCGCCAGCCCGAAGGGCCCCGTCCCCGACGGCGTGCAGCTCGTCGATCTCGTGAAGGATGCGTGCAACGCGTAGATACGTATATGCTGGACTTGGACTTGATCGTGTTGGACTCTAGTTTCGTAGCCAACGACCATCGGACGTTTGTACCGGACTTTGTGTACTACTATCTCGCACTTGGATTGAGACTGGAAGGTGACTCGCTCACCGCAACCTGTGAATATGCGCGAGGGCTAGCGACACACCTTCAAGATAAGGCGACGATGTGGCCGTTTTCACCCGTCGCGTTTACTCGCGTTTGCACAGAGAGAGATGGGGCCATGTGTGCGGGGTACCCGTCAATTGCGGGCCCCGATAGACTCGCTTGACACCTCTCGACAAAGCGCCGTCGTCCCTTGACGGATAGTCGGGAAAAAAGCGCACACTTGGAATCTTTGATTATTGCGTATGTATTAATCTACTGTACCGCTGATGGATAGGTTGTATGAGGGATAACCCCACAAAGTCGTTGATTCATATTATCGATCGATGGATATCGACGGCTGCGGGGAGCACCGGTGAGCAAGTGAAGCCGACCCGAGCGCACACACTCACCTTTACCATAGACCACTGCACCACAATCTCCCGCACTCGGCTGCGAATCGCCTTTTTGCACCCCTCGCATTCGACATGGTCTGCCAGCGGGCCCAACGCATTTTCAATTGCGCACACTGAATAGTCTACCACAGCTCACCGTGTCAGCTGCGCATCCAAGCACGACCGACAACCGTACGTACCCGGCCGCGCGTCCCACGCGACGTAGGCGGCCGCGAGCCCCCACGCCCGCGAAACCTTCTTCTGCGCCGCGAATCCGCACCGCCAGCTCTCCGCGTGCGTCTCCGGCGGCCGGACGAGCATCTCGCGCAGCGCGCGCACGCGCCCCGTGTGCAGCGCGAAGAGCCGCTTCAGGTACAGCGCCCCGACGCGCTCTGCCAGCGCGTCGGTGAGCGTCTCCTTGCCTTCCGCCTGGGCGGAGGAGGCGCGAGCGAGGAGCGGGAAGGAGAGCAGGTACGCGGAGACGGGCGCGGCGAGCGCGGGGAGATCGTGCGCGGCGGCGAGCGCGTAGACGGCGAGGGGCGCGAGGGGTGCCCGTGCGAGGAGGAGAGAGAATAGGGGCGTCGCGGGCGCGACGTGTGTTTGTGGGAGGCAGCCATACGAGGGCAGGGCGTCGACGGCAGCGACAAGTGTGCCAATGGTGGGGTTGTAGGAAGCGCTTGGAAGGCCATAGAGGGCGTGGAGGAGGACATTGAGCGTGGGCGAGGATAGAGGACTGGTGTGGCGGGCGGAGGTTTTGAGGAGGGGACCTGGGTTTGCGCTTTGGGATGAGATTACCGAACCGATTGGAAGAGAGGGAGAGCAGATGAGCGGCGTGGACGTAGAAGAGCACGCCGTCCAAAGACTTGAAGACTAGGTCGGGCGGGTCGGGCAGGATTGTTGAAGCTGGGTCGAATGTTGTCGAGATTGAAAGCGTTGGACCCGCCTGTCCGATTTCCATCGGCGGTGTGGCAAGCTGCTGGTTGTTTGTATTGGAGTAGAAGCCGGATGTACTGCCACTCGAAGACGGGTCGACCAAATACCAGGAGTTGTCCATAGTGTCCACTGGTGTGCGGTGTCTGTACGGAAGACAATGGGGGAAGAGGGAGTGAGCCCGCTGTGGTCTGAAGATCTTTTGGGATCGCGGCGTAGGCAAAAGCACCGGATTGAATGCCGTAAAGTCGGAGAGCGATGGCTATGGTGAGGTGGCGCCTCTATACAACCTTGCGACAAATCGAACAGGGCGCTCCCCGCATGCCGGAGGTTCGGCAGTCCGCTCAATTGCGTGTCAACGCCCACGAGACGATGTGAACATGTTGAACATGCAACGATACCCCGCACAAGTCCGAGACTATCGGCTCCCCGTCTTTGTCTTGAATTGATGTCCTCATAGAAAAGATGGCTCCGTGCTCTTCGAGTGCCGAGCGATCGCGCGGTACGCCGCGCTCCCACTTTGGTACCGGACTCCGTAGGCGCGCGCGCCGTCGCGACGTTCAAGCAGGGGGTAAGCGTGAAGCTGACAGACTTTGAAGTGTTCGCGGAGGCGTTGGCGACCGAGGGGATCGTGAAGCTGTAAGTGCATACAGGGTGCCTTGTGGTCTGAAAGTGGAGACAAAATGGTGTTTGACGATTGATTGGACGGATACGATGCGGAGCTCTCGAAGACCAAGTACCTGGCGAGAGACATGAGTATCGATGAGTGGGAACTTGGGGGACTCACTGCATTGATAGCATCGTGGACCTGTTCCATCTTTTATAACCGAGCGCCCGTGAAGGTGCAAGAATACGACTTCTTGGAGTCTGCGCACTGGTCAAACGTAGCAAGGTGAGTAGCTCGAGCTTTCCAGAATGTTCAGCGCGGTTGATGCCGTCTACCTGCCCAAGGTGGTGGACAAACTTCACAGCTCGAACGAAGTGGCTGCAATCGCCGTCTGGCACCGGCACCAGTTAGTGTGGCTCGCTGTGAGAGCAAAGAGCAAAGCTCCATTAAAAGCAATACGCTACCGGCCGTCTAAGCGTCAAGGTACGAGAAATGGTCCGCGGTGACTTCCGAACCTCCGTCGTCCTCACCTCGCCCCGTTCACGGCGCCTCCGCTCCCTCTCCCGTTCGCGTTCCCGGGCAATATCGCCGGCGCGCTGGCGTGTGCCTGCAACGGACTGCCCCGCGCGCCGCCGCCGAGCATGTTGCGGTACGCGGTCACGGAGTTGTGCGTGCTCCAGAAAGAGTCGTACGTCAGCCCACCGCCCGCGCCAGGGCTCGCTGCGGCCGGTGCTGCGGTCTGGGTCGAGGTCGGGGTCGGGGTCGACGCTGAGGCCGGGGGCGGGGGCAGCGGCACGGGCGACGACGCGGAGATCATCGAGCGCAGCGCGGCGAGCTGCGAGTCGAGGTGCTCCGTCGGCTCCATCGGATCGAACGGGCTCGCGGAACGATTGGGAGAGCGCGGTGGCGACGGACGACGTCGACGCCGCGGCGAGGGTGGATGACGATGCGGCGTACGTGTGAGGGGAGGAGGCGTAGACGGGCACGGGGTCGAGCACCGTCGCGGTCGAGTCGGTGCGCGAGAGTGGGTAGCGCGTGGTGCCGCCGGGGCCGGCGAGTGGCGCGCGCGGGGTCGGGCACGGGAGGTGCTGGGGCCGGGAACGGGGGTGGAGGGACGGAGAGCGTGGATGCGGAGTCGAGGCTTGCGAGGGAGGCT